CCAGACTTGGCACGCCGAGGGCACGGGGGCAGGGATGTCCTTCGCTGCCGGCCTGACGAAAATTGTTGCCGGCCCCTTGCATGCTTTCAGAGGTCAGCGTGACGACAGTTCGATACGATATGATATGATTCAACCCTGAACCCTCCAGCCTATGTCCACATCCAAGCCCTCAGGTAAACAATCGGAAGTCGCCGACCGAGAGAAAATCGCAGAGTCCTGGAAAGCGAAGGAGGAGGGGGAGTGAAGTGAAGGATATGTTCTTTCGCGGGGGTTTCTGGGGCGATGTAGCTGTGCCTTTGCAAGCTTGTGGGGGGAATGTACAGCGAAGGCGACCCCAAAAGGCTAAACCAGCCATTGTTTCAGCTTTGGTGGCTTATGCATCCTTTTTCGGCTGAGTTCTTGTTGGGTTCTTTTGGTGCAGGGTCTCGGTTTGTGAGGGATGTTGACGGGGCTCAGGCTGCAGGGTTTAGGAACGCTAAACCCTAAAACCTACTGTAGAACCCCAAACCCGAAGACCTAAGCACTGAACTAAACCCTAAACCCTAAACCCTAAACCCTAAACTCTAAACCCTAAACCCTATACGCACCCTAAGCCCTAAACACTAAACCTTAAACCTTGAACCCTAAACCCTAAACCCTAAACCCTAAACCTTAAACCCTGAACCCTAAACCCTGAACCCTAAACTCTAAAACCTAAAAGTTGCAGGCTTCGGGCTCCTTTTGCCTGACCGTGCCCTGCTTATGTGGGGCCTGGGCAATGTGTTGGGGGCTCCTCTTCCTCATGCTCTTCCTTAGGCTGCGGACCCCCCTAAGCCGGAAACCCTAAACTACTATAGGGGTCGAACAATTACTAATAATATTCCCTTATGGTCCCTTGTATTATACCCGCAGGCCGCCAGTTTTGCCGTCAGACACTGCTGCTACTCATTGGGGGGAGGGGGGGGGGTTGGGGCGGGGGGGGGGGGGGTGTGGTTCCGGGCCCGTGAATTTGCCTGAATGAAGTACCAAAATCCCTACACCCGCAAAACACACGTTCCACAAGCTCTCACACTGAATTCACAAAATCCCTCCAGATTTCACAAACTCTTACCCTGCATGAAGTCCCAAAATCCCTGCCCTAAACCCGCAAAAGCACAGATTCCACAAGCTCTCACCCTGAATTCACAAATTCCTTAAATCCGAAAAAACACGGATTACACAAGCTCTTTCCCTCAATGAAGCCCCAAAGTCCGAAATCCCATTGTTCCTTGCAAAGGCATCCCAAGATCTTAAAGCCTACTGCCCTACCTTTGGACGCATGCTCATGTGCACGTTTCGTGCTTCAAGATATCGATCAGCCTCTTTCTTTCACCACTACTGTCGCTTATATGCTACAATGGCTAGCTTTAAGTTTGTCCATGTACTTGGTGCTGCGTGCTTTTTGGGTCAGCTGCAGTTTTCGCAGGACAAGCTACTGGACGCAGCCGTGGACCTGCTGCTTGGTCTCTTCTGGGCCTGAGGTTTCATAGTTCCTGGTCTTCGTCCCCTATGTAGGGGTAGTTTCATGGGCCCTGAATGTCGTCCCTTACCTCCTTTACCTGGTTGCCCTTAACTTGTAAAGGGTATATAAGGGGTGTACCATGTTAAGGGACCATGTAACTACCCTGTGAGTTTAGGACCACTGGGTTTCCACCCTTAAGGGCACCCCGCTGTGGTCGCGCGGTTCTCGACGAGGCGGTCGGCGACGGTCGTTTTGGCGTCGAGGCGACAAAATCGCCTGCTCACCGGTCCCAAGCGCATTCCGTATCGCAAACCGCTCAGCCGCCTCGGTCGCGTGCGCTTTTTCAGGCTTGCACAGCTCCGTGTCGCGAAAACATGACTTCGCAGGACCCTGCCCTAAACCCTAAACCCTAAACCCTAAACCCTAAACCCTAAGCCCTAAGCCCTAAGCCCTAAGCCCTAAGCCCTAAGCCCTAAGCCCTAAGCCCTAAGCCCTAAGCCCTAAGCCCTAAGCCCTAAGCCCTGCACCCTGCTCTTGTGGAGCATCTTGTCGTTCTCTTCAAGTGGTCGTACACCGTTTGGGGCTCGCGCCGGCAAAATCAACCATGTGGAGTTTGAGGGGCCACGGTTTGGGGTTTCATGTTCCTCAGCATCCTCAGCTTTTTTCTGGCGGGTGTTTTGCTGTGAGGATCTTCTGCCCTAAACCCTAAACCCTAAACCCTAAACCCTAAACCCTAAACCCTAAACCCTAAACCCTAAACCCTAAACCCGAAACACGCAGGTTCAAGTCGCGATGTATCAAGGAGGCGGAGCTCGAGAAGTGTGAAGCCACCATCTCATTCGAGGCCGGCGGGTCGGGCCGAGGGTTTAGGGTTTAGGGTTTAGGGTTTGGGGTTTAGGGTTTGGGGTTCGGCTTTTTGGGTTTTGGGGTGTTGCAAAAGGGCTGAGGGTTAAGGATGTAGGGTTTAGGGTTGAGGGTTTAGGGTTTGGGGTTTTGGGGCTGTTTCAGGGGTCCCGAAGCCGAACTTTGGGGGCGGGTTGCGTGGTTTTGGTTTCGGTTCAGGAAAGGAAGGCAGTGGCGGTTGCTCCGTGTTTACTTCTGTTTGCGTACGACCCCCCCTCCCCCAAAAGTTATGCCAGCGTAGACCCCAAACAGGAGGGCCAGAAAAGGCCAAAGAAGGCCAGAAGAGCACCGACACTCCCGGGGACAAAAGGTACAAAAGTTCGTGGGGGGCCGAATTCCCTTGGGGGTCAAAAAGACGCCAACCACTGGGGGATTCGGCTTTGCACGCGTGTGGAACTTGGGGGCCAAAAGACCCAGCTGATGCTCATGATGCTCAACCCCAAAATCGTTACCCCGTAATACTAACGCAGGGTTGACCCTAAACCCTCAACCCCCCCTAAAGCCTGTGTTTTTTATTGATCCTGCCCACAGGTGGTCTCACCGCACACCCTCCCTGTAGAGGGCAGGACCAAGAAAAACACAGGGTGGATTAGGGTTTAGGGCTCAGGGCTCAGAGGGTTTGGGGTTTAGGGATCAAGGCTTAGAAACCCTGTGAACAATCACAAAGCCAGCTCAAAGCTTCATTTTTCAAGTGTTCCCATCGCTTCACAGACAGCGGGAGCATCGAAATGCAACGGATTTCGTGCGAAACCACAGCGGGAGCATCGAAACGCAACAGAAATCGCGCGAAACCACAGCGGGAGCGTCGAAACCAAGGCCCCGCCCCACCGCGTGCACCGTTGCGGTCGGCAACCTCAGCGGCCCCCCCCACCCATCAAACCTGACGATGGCCTCTCAGCTTGTACAGCTTCTCGATCCCGAAGATCGGGCAGCGACGGTGGTCTCCTCGTATTTTCACCACTTCTATCCCCTCCGCTTGCGGGAAGACTTGCCGGCCTTGATTGCCTCAGTCTTATTTCCTCATGAGCCCGCTCGCTCCAGAAAGGATTCGCTGCTGGACCTTGAACCATTTCACCTTCAATCTGAGCGATTGGTTGCATTCGCGCAATTTCTCTCCCATCCGTCAGTGCTTGTACCTCAGGAGCTAGTTGCCTTTCTTCACCCCTATCACCACGATTTTCTTCGGCATCATTGGCCTCCGATGACAGTCCAGGTTCAGAACGACGCCGCATCATGTCCATTGCACCAAACAAGTACAAAATCTCTACGAACCCACAGGGAGCCTAATTTGGGCTCATAGCCTACGGGGGGCAACCGAAGGGGGACAAAGAACCAAACAGTCAACCCCAACCGAAGCCCTGAATTTTACCCCAGACCAACCAGAGAAAACCCAAACCAAGAACCAACCCACACGCAACCTTTTCTTGTCTTGGCGCATGGCCGTCTTGAGCCAAAATATCCATGGGTGTTTTACCCCTTCCAAACCTACAAAGTGCAACCTCCGCACCCTAAACCCTAAACCCTGAACCCTAAACCCTAAACCCTAAACCCTGAACCCTGAACCCTGAACCCTGAACCCTAAACCCTAAACCCTAAACCCTAAACCCTAAACCCTAAACCCCACATCACGCAATTGTGGGGTCTTGGGAGCTGGTCCGTTTTCAGGGCTTCGGGGCACCTGAGCCGCACCTCAGGTCATCACCCGAGAGATTCCGGACTTTCCGAAGCGAATTCTTACAGCCCCTTGGGCCGGGGAGGCGGTTTTGGGTTTTGGGAAGTTTTGGGTGAACCACTGAAACTGTTGGTGTTCGGGGTGTTCGGGATTGAAGAACGTGCTCGCTGCTGCCCACAACGGTCGTAGAGCGTTGCTGAGGACTCCACCTACTTCGTAGACTCGTGGCCCTCCGGCACCACCGCGGAGTCGTGGTTCTACGCCACGCGAGGCCCCCGAGCCCCTGCCCCAAGGCCTCCCACATCCACCCCACATGATCCTGAACCTCTGAACTTTTCACCCCTAAACCTCTACACCTCCGAAGCCCCGACCCCCCAACCCCAACCTTTCAAACCCTAAACCTTCAAACCCTGAATCCGAAAACCCTTCCTAAACCTCCTAGTTAAACCCCCCGACAAAAAGCCCCAAAACTGAGAAGGTCCCAAACCCTGAAGCCCCTCAAGCCCGGCATCAGTTTAGGGGTTTAGGGGTGGGAAATTACGGGTTCAGGTTCAAGGTTTAGGGGTCTAGGGTCCCAGGACCCAGGACCCCAAAGCCTCCAACCCACCTGACACCTGTGTAAGATTTGGATGGCAGACATGACCAAATGACCCATGATTTTCCAGCGTTTGGGGCTTGGGTGCCAGTAGGGTCGGAAGGGCGACCCTTTGAGAGCTGTACTTCTCGCCATAGGATCGTCCCCTTAGCACCCCTATCGGCCCCCCTTCTTCTCTCTACCCCCAAGCAATAGGGTCTAGGGCTTCGTCCATTGCCTAGAGAGCTGTAAGGATGGGTTGGTAGCGCCCACGGCTAGCTTGCCATTTCCAGCCACGCCGCGCTCCGAAGCAAAGTTGGCCCGAAGCTCTTGGCATACCTTCAAACCATCTGCGAAACAGTTCCTCGAGAATGCGTGGGTTCATGCGCCTCCTCGTGTGGATTGTGGTCCAGGCCTCCGTGCTGGCGCTTCGCGACCGAGACGCCACAGACCTGGACGTGGACCAGGCCAGTGCGGAGCTTGCCCGCCCTACCCCAGAGGAGGCCGCCATGATCCAGGCCGAAGGAAGCTCCGAAGTGGGGAAGAAGTGCTGCTGCAACGGTCAGTACTACACCATCGCTCATGCTGAGAGCTGTTCGGCACAGGGAGCGCGCCTGGTGAGGACGAGCTCAGTCGGATGCGGGAGCGGCTTCACAGGAACATGCAACAAGTAGGACGGCTGAGACAGCACTGCGGAGTTGAGCCCGGAAAAACAAGAGCGTCGGACATGCCACGCCGAAGCCTCGATCCTAAACCACCCCTTTAACTCGAGCAGCAGAGCGATTGGGTCCCGAAGTGCGCTGCACTGCAAAGACACTAGACCCGAAATCCTACACCTCTGGGGGATCCCCCTGCATCCTCATGTAGCGCCCTGAGCCCTAGGGTCTAGGGCTTGGGGGGTCTGGGGAGGCCCCCTCTCCACCTTCAAGAAACCCATCCGCATGACTCGAGCCCCCTAAGATCTGAGCGCGAAACCCCAGACTTCAGAATCCAGCCCGGGACCCAAGACCTCAACTCACGCGTCCGGAGGGCTCCCGCAAACCGAACCCACGGAGGAGTTAACTCAGCCTTCTCGACCGGTGCGCCGATCCTATTCGCGGAGGCGGGGTGTGGCAGGTTCGTATCTGTTCGATGCTTCTTCGCAGAGAGGCCCCTCTGAGCCCACAGTCGATAGACGTTCGAGGCCCATAGGGTTTTAGAGCATGAACATGACTATTTCTCCGACGATTATTTGTATATATTTTTTCATATTACTTGCTACTTGTTGCATACACATACTCTGAATTAGAATCTTCGGTGTTTGGGCTTCGGGAGCCCCAAGCTTTCAGCAGGTGTTGCAGGCGATGCTGCCGCAGTTCGTGTCCCGAGTCAAGGACGGGGGGGGCACGCCCAAGGGGTGGCTCAGGGAATCGGCTCAGGAGGGTTTAGGGTTTAGGGCTTAGGGTTTAGGGTTTAGGGTTTAGGGTTGGGGGGCTTTTAGGGTTCAGGGTTTAGGGTTTCGGGGTTTTTGGGGTTTAGGGGGAGAAGGGTTTAGGTCTTTTTTTTGGGGTTTAGGGTTGAGGGCTCAACTCAGCGAGAGCTGCAGCATGACTCGCAGCCAGCAACGGCAGAACACTGCGCCCCGGCACCCCAAAACCCGGACCCAGAAACGTAAACCCTGAACCCGTAACGCCCCGAGTCTCACCCCGAACCCTAAGCAGCCTTTAGCCCTAAACCTAAACCCTAAACCCTACACCCAAAACCCTTAACCCTTAACCCTTTAAACCCTAAGCCCTAAACCTTAAACCCACAGAAGATAAGGAGCTCGGCTTCTCAGAGTGCAACCACGAGGCTTGGCGGGCTGCACTCTTGGGCTTTGAGGGGCTTAGGGTTAGGGTTTAGGGCTCAGGGCTTTGGAGTCTTAGATGTATTGGAGCATCAGTGGAATCCGTGCTTGGGGATTTAGTCAAGCTGCGTGGGCAAAAGCCCCTCCAGCTGTGTAAGGATGTTTACAGTGCCTCTTGGGGGATGTCGAGCGGTAAAGCTTTTTTTAGGAGGAGACATGATGGTGGCAGCGAGGCCCCAGGCAACACAAGCAACGAAGGCAACGAAGCCTCCATCCCCCGCGATAAGCCCTAGACCCTACACTCCCCGAACCCTTGACCCTTAGAGCCCTAAGCCCTAAACCCTAAAGCCCTCAAATCCCCAAACAACCCTAAAACGTTTACCCCTAAACCCTAAGCCCTAGGCCCTAAGCCCTAAACCCTAAACCCTAAACCCGAAACCCTAAACCCTAAACCCGAAACCCTAAACCCTAAATCCGAAACCCCTCGGGAGGCCGGCACCTGGAAGGTGGCGGTGTCGTGGCCACAGCCGGAGGAGGATGCCCCTGCACCCCGGCAAGTGAAAGGGGGGGCTTTGGGTTTAGGAGGGAGTTAGGGTTTAGGGTTTAGGGTTTAGGGTTTAGGATTTAGGGTTTAGGGGTTTAGGGGTTTAGGGGTTTGGGGGTTTAGGGGTTTGGGGGTTGAGGGGTTGAGGGGTTGAGGGGTTGAGGGGTTGAGGGGTTGAGGCGTTTAGGGGTTTAGGGGTGTAGGGATGAGGGTTTAGGGGTTTAGGTGTTCTGCTGGGGCTTGGCTGTTGTTGTGTTTTCAAGTTCTTAAGCCCTGAGCCCGAGCCTCAAACCCTAACCGGAAGCCCCGAGGCTGGTCCCCACAGGGGTGGGGGCGGGGTGGGGGGGGGGGGCGGGGTGGGGGGGCGGGGGGTGGTGTCTTCTTCAGGGGTTCTAGGCTGGTGCGGGTTCCCCAAAAACAGGTGCTGCCGTGCTGTGGCTAGACCTCGAAAGCCAGAACTAGACCCATGAGCCGGGGGGTTTTAGTACAACGGTCCTCGAGTTTAGGGCATGGTTGAGGGTACTCGGTGTAGAGCTTTTTAGCGGCTTTAAGCCCTAAGTCTTCGAGCAACCAGAAACTTCGGACAGGCTTTTTCAGGCTTGTCGGGCTCGCCGGCTTCTTTCTGTGGTGGTCCTGGGCTGTCTGGGTTGCAAGAGAACCCAGAGAGAAGAGGGGCAAAGGGCTTCGGTTTAGGACCTAGGGGGGTTTCGGGGTGTACCTGAACCCAAACCCTAAACCCTAAGCCCCAAGCCCTAAACCCTAAGCCCCTAAGCCCTAAGCCCTAAACTCGCTCGCACGCCGAGGAGAAGAAGAAGAAGCGACGCAAAGACTAAGCCCTGCGAAAAAAACCGCCGCTATCGGAGCTATTTGGGGGTTTACGAGAACAAGGGACCCCGAGTATGGACCCCCATCCCCTTATCATAAGGACCCAATAATAAGGTACCCCTAATATGGTAAAGCCCCGATTTTACAGAATCCCCAATAATAGTAGCGACAGTTTGCGCATTTTGGTTATTGGTTGGGGTGTAGGGATTTGGTTATAGGAGTTAGAAGCTGGAGTTTACGAGACGACTTTTGGATATCGGGCTTGGGGTTCTGGGGTCTAAGCCCTCAGCCCTAAACCCTAAACTCATCCCCCTAAACCCTAAACCCTAAACCCTAAACCCTAAACCCTAAACCCTAAACCCTAAACCCTAAACCCGAAACCCGAAACCCTAAACCCTAAACCCTAAACCCTAAACCGCGGGGCTTCGTTGCGTCGGCCGTGGGAGTTTCGCAGAGCAAGTGACGAGGACTTCCGGCTTGGGAGCTGTCGAAAGGGTGAAGACACCATACGGTAGGGTTTAGGGTTTAGGGTTTAGGGTTTAGGGTTTAGGGTTTAGGGTTTAGGGTTTAGGGTTTAGGGTCTAGGGTTCAGGGTTTAGGGTTTAGGGTTTAGAGGGCCACTGTTCTAGCATTCATAGTCATTAGGAGGTTCCAGGCCCGCCCAAAGAATCCCAGAACATTAAGAAAATCAAAGGCCCCCATCCTACCGAGCCCCCCGACGAACAATCTGACCCCAATGTTCGGGCGATTCCGGCCAATCTGACCCCAATGTTCGGGCGATTTCGGCCAAGCCGAAAAGTCACGAACATTGGGGCCCCAATGTTCAGGCGATTTCGGCCGATCTGACCCCAATGTTCGGGCGATTTCGGCCAATCTGACCCCAATGTTCGGGCGATTCCGGCCAATCTGACCCCAATGTTCGGGCGATTTCGGCCAGGCCGCAAAGTCAGGAACATTGGGGCCCCCAAAGTTCGGGCGATTTCGGCCAATCTGACCCCAATGTTCGGGCGATTCCGGCCAATCTGACCCCAATGTTCGTGATTTTTCGGCCAGGCCGAAATCGCCCGAACATTGGGTTCAGATTGGCCGGAATCGCCCGAACATTGGGGTCAGATTGGCCGAAATCGCCCGAACATTGGGGGGCAGTTTGACCGAGATCGGCCGAAGGTTTAAATAGATAAATAAATATAATAAATATACTAAATATAATAAATGTAATAAATATAATAAATAAAATACATATAAATATAAATATAAATATAAATATAAGGATAAATATAAACAACAATAAATAAATAAATAAATATATATATATATATATACATGTATATATATATATATATATATATGATAGAGAGGGTTTAGGGTTTAGGGTTTAGGGTTTAGGGGTTAGGGTTTAGGGTTTAGGGCTTAGGGTTTAGGGTTTAGGGTTGAAGGTGTAGGGTGTAGGGTGTAGAGTGTAGGGTTTCGGATGTAGGGGTTTAGGGGTTACGGTTTATGCTTTAGGGTTCAGGCCTAGGTTTCGATGGTCTGGGTATGAGGGCTTCAACATACCAAGCGCCTCATGTTCTTACCTAAACCTAAGGCTGAACCCTAAACCGGAGAACTTCACGCATCACCCTAGTTTTTGCTGCTCCCACGCTAGTGCAGGACTGTCAGCGGCCAAGTGTTCAGGAACTGACTGTTGCTTATGATATGTATCAGGCACCATCAGCTGTGTAGCAGGGCATGCTTTTAGGTAGGTTTTGTTTGTAGGGTAGCTGGGTTCTATGGCCCCCATCTAGGTACACCTCTTAAAGCCACCCATGGTCTTCAAGTACTTACCAAAACCTCAACCCCACCAATCCCAAACCCCAAACCCTAAACCCTGAGCCCTGAACCCTCTGACGAACCTGACTTCGCAGGGTGCTGTTCAGGTCTTGGGGATGTTTGGCGCGTCGCGGGCAGGCGGGCTCCGAACCCCAGGCCTGAGCTTGAGGCTCCCAATCTTTGGGGTTTAGGGTTTGGGGTTTAGGGTTTGGGGTTTAGGGTTTGGGGTTTGGGGTTTAGGGTTTGGGGTTTGGGGCTTGAGGTCTAGAGCCCCAAAGACTCTGTACTTGGCAACTGCGGCGCTAGCGCAGTAGTCAGCTGTTCAGGGGTGTAGAAGCCTCCAAGCCCTAGACTTTTAACCCCTAAACCCTAAACTTTGGCTCATACGCCTGACGATGGTCGCAAAAGGCAGCTGCCACTTAAGACGACTCCGAGGAGTAGTCCACTTGCCGAGCTTGGCCATAAAACCATAAGCATCTCAACCATAGTCCCCGAGAGCTCAAAACCCCTAAGCCTGACAACCTCTTTGGGTACCGAAAGCTGGGAATGTATAGGAAAATAGCTCTACAAGAGCTGTCCAGGTGTGAAGAGCAGCGAGGTTCGATCCATGAAAACCAGGAGTACCTCTCGCACTAGGTTTTCTTAAACAAGGGTTTAGGGTGGGGTTTAGG